TTAGCGTTCGCGCGACTTTTAAATTTTGCCGCGTGCATTTAGCGCATATTTTGGTGCTGATATATAAATTATTTTTACTTCACTCATTATGTGCGCTACTATTAATCACGCAGCTAATTTTATTTTATTATCATCGGGTTGAAACTATAGTAAACTACGGTGTTACAGTTTCATCAAGTATTTCACGGTGGCGCGTATTTTCTGACCATCGCCCGGCGTTATACACAATGCCCGTAGTTTTACGAAATCAGATCCGACTAATAGCGATTTCGTGTTTCGCCCTGTTTTTCACACCGCCCCCCGCAGCAGTTTCTGCGGATGTCTCTAAATTTCGTATTCCGGCTACTCGCTCGACGAAGGGATCACACAAAGAAGTCTACTCCCTCGCAAAGCACGATCCGTTGAATACCGATCGCTCGACGATTGATAGTTTAGCGCAGATTGTATTAAGTATGACTCAGTTAGTTCCAATTATTCACGTGCCATGGACGCGATGTAAATGAAATAGTGACACGTGTACACAAGTGTGCACATCCTGTACAAAGCTGTTCAAATTATCGAACGAATTATGGCGATGAAGTTTACTCACGGGGATGCGAAATTGTATGCAATGATGAAGCGATAAACAGTAATGAGAATTGTAATTAAGATTCGCCGTTGAAAAATATCAATTGCTCATCCATTCAAAAAAATACTTTTCACATAAATACACTGAGAAAAAAAAGTTATTAACTTAACTAAATGCGTTTAGTTCGTAGTGATTATTTAATTCAAGTATTTTTATATTTAAGTTAAATATTACGTAAGTCATATCACCAAAATCTTGTAATTTAAAACATATTATTTGTTTGAATTAATAAATATTTGCTTGGCAGCTCGTGATCGCTGCATTTAATTGAATCAATTAATATTTTATTGAAAGAGCAACTTTTTTTTCTCAATGTAGAAAAAATCATAAATATAATGATGAAATTTTACGAAATGTAATAATGAGTCATGTTTTTCTTTCTTATTTCAGAGTATAAACAATATTTTTCTTATTCTTATTTTTCTATACTTTTTAATATCTGAATCTTGATATTATAATTTAAAAAAAAAGGAAGATAAAGCGAAGTATGAAATAACTCTGGAAAAGTCGTTGCGAAATTAAAAAGGATCGATAAAAGTACTTAGAGTGGGAATTTAAAATATTGCGCAAATTAATTAACGCCGGTTGGGAGAACGCGATAAGGCGTTTTTTTTGCATCACTCAAGAGCATCGTCTCTCACAGAGTGGAAAAAAGATAAGAAAGAGACGAGTGATGCGAAATGGCAGACTAAAATTTTATAATGCAAGCGATTACGCGATGCTGGATGGAGAAAGCTTTATTTCATTTTCAATGTAATCTCGTCGCGTTCGCGTGATTGTCACACGGACGTGGGATTATGCGAATTGATATATTAATTTTATGGATGTACTCGGTGACGCTTATATCCACGCACTAATGCACACCGCAAGAAAATGACAACAGACTAGCTAATATAATGAAATGTCAGAAACAGTCAACATCGCGGAACAATTCCCTGGTGCAATTAAAGTTAGTTTGATTATATCCTCTTGTTAACGAATGGCATTCTGTAATTCCTATAGTAACCTCATGACTTAATGTACTTATTAATCCTGGAATCTTGTGAAGTCAAAAATAATTCCATTCGAAAAGGAATACTTAGATTGCTATTTGCATAAAAAAGAAAAGACGACGAAGAATTTTTTCCACAATGGATTTACATCCATACAACAGCCACAAAAACGTTAAAAAAATTGTGTCTCTTACTTTATTTCATTAAATTTTAATGTACGTTTGTAGAACAGTTCTCATTTTTATTGCCGAATTATTTTCTTTAAAAAAATCATTCTTTCGCAAAAGATTTTACATATTAAATTTCCTACGATATTATTATACATATATTTTATTTATCATAAATAAAATTGCGTAATGAAACGTATAATGCTTTGAAATGGGAAAGATAATTATTTAAAAGAATTTTTATACACACATCGCCGATAAGGACACTAACGCTCTCATTTACATCGTTTACCTTTAATTAATACATTTAATTTACGGAGATCGGCTTGAAAATAATATGCAAAAAAATATGCTAATCTCTATAATAGCTTCTCTTTCGGAAGAAATAAAATAATGTAGATTAAGGCGATAAAGTGCCGCTGATTCGCGACATGGATATGACCTCTGTAATACCCTAAATTACATTACAGTAAATTATAGTAAACACTTTTCTATGTTATTCTTTTATCATCGACCTGGAGAAGGAAATTAGTTTCGTTGACACTCGACGGGACGCAAAGTAATTGCGTGTTTTACCGGCTAGGAAAATAAAATCTATAATCGCTTTTGTGTAATTTATAAGATCGGAATGGGTATTTAAACGCACAAATATTGATAATCCATTGAAAAGCCGTTAATTGCATATTACTGTCCTGTCGGGCACTCAATTCGGTTTCATTGTAAATTCAGCGAATGAACATGGAATCTCCATTTTAAATATGGGGATTGCAGTTCAGATCATATTCGAGATACTTCAAAAGCATGGGGCGTCTCCTGAATCGTCGAAGATATCTCTCGATAATGGCTTCTACACGACAATCTTACCAATCAATTTTGTTAAAAAACGTTCAAGATGATAATTAAGTGTGTATGTAAACAAGTACACGTTCCAAAAGTAAGAGTTTTTAAAAGCGCGAATAATAAGAACGCGTAAAAGTTTGTGTATTCAAATAAGAAGACAGAGTTAAAAACCCGCACAAGTCCATATAGGAATTGTGTGTGAAGTGTGGAATTTTCTAAATTTGAAAATTCCACGCGTCAAGCAAGAGCATAGTAAAATACAAGTTTTTATCCTATGAATTTTATTGATGAAAAACTAGTTTAATTCTTATTGTATGTTTTAATAAACAAATTTATATTTAAAGAGATCCAATAAACGTTGCTCGTGTTTTTTGACTTTTCTATTTATTAATTTTTGCTTAGCAATCTCGAGCTAGAAAATTTTACATATTTTATTTTACAAGTTTTAATTTTTACAGATTTGATCGTATTCAAACGTGAGCAAATAAAATGCGCGCATAAGATGCAAAAGTAACAACAATCTTTGGAGTGCCACGATTTTACTTTCGCACAAATCTCACTCAAGCATGAACGCAAGAGTGTGTGATATCTTATGCCACTTATACATAATCTACAATATGCGGAGTAAACTTGGTGGAAAAAGTAAGAGTAAGAAATCGACCAATCACAGTCGATTATTCTTTCTACATTCGACTGTAATTGGTCAATTTCTCACTTTTACTTTTTGCATCATGCTTACTTCGCACGGAAAAAAAAATTTAGTTTAACTGGAATTCTGGTGGAAAATGAACGATCCAAAATTTTGGTTAAGTTCACTAGATTTCTGGTTAAATCTACTAGAATTCTAGTAGATTTGACCAAGGAAATTCTGAATGTTATCTGAAGATTGTCGCAACTGGAATTCTAGTATAGATTTAACCAGAATTCTGTCCATTTTCCATCAGGATTTCAGTTAATTCAATCAAACATTTTTCTCTGTGCGCATATTGTAGATAATGCATTACATGATCAACATTCTTGAATGGCGGTCTAAACTCACGGTTTTGCGTCCCCCTCAGCCTGTACACTCCTGTTAGTATGCAGGTACACGTAAAGACCACTAATAGCACAAAGAATTGAGCTCTTGCCGGTTGTAATTCACGGGTGAAACTGTATCGAAATGTGCTGCAACACGAACCGCCGCATATCAAGTAGCAGACAATCCGCGGATTCAGATGTACAGGTGTACATAGTCTCGCTTGCGAGTGGATATCGCGTTACGTACGATCATCATATATGAAATTTATTGACGTTAGCGGAAGAACGAGAACACGGAATGAAACTATTGTATTTCATCGTTTGCATAATTTTCACGGCCGCTCATTGCACATTTTCCATTCAGTCACCGGTTTGAAATTCATTCGAATAACGGAAGATAAATCTCTGGCAAACGGCGCGAAGAACGTAGAAACATTTATGTTTCTTTTAGACTTCCGCGATACAATGGCGATAAGAGCTCGCCGATCGCGTTTTGCTTTATCCGTTTTATTCGCTCGTCGCGCTGGGATAAAGCGAAATCCGCGAATAAAGAGAAAATTCTCTCGTTATATCGAGTTTCTCTCATATGCGCGAAAATCTTTTATTTCTATGTCGGATATACGCATCCTTCTCTTCTCATTTCACTCTCAAACAAATATGACATAAATATTTCGCATTGCATACAATCCTCGCGGATATATGTCTGTTTATGCAATATTTAACATCAAAGTTCGAAATTTTTCATCAAAGACGATTTTCATCAAAGACAATTTTAATTGTGAACGATTTGTTAATTATAAGCAATTAAAAAAAGGAAAACAAAAATAAAAACGACTTAAAACTTTCATAAAAGTAAAACTTTCATAAAATGGCAATAGAATCTACTAAGCTAGTACTCCAGACAATTTGAAATAACTTCGGACAACCTTTTCTACGAAAACTTAACGCACTCCGAAGTTAATTGCTAAGTTATTTAATAACGAAACTTCAGCCGTTTCGTCAAATCATGGTATGCATTTAGTTTTCGGCAGAAGAAAAAGTCTGACTCGTGAAACTTCCACGGAAACTGTATTGAAGTTTCTTCCTTTTAATTAAAAGTGATACGCTAATAACAGTACGTCAAAGACATAAAAACGTGGGGGAGATGTTATAATAAGGGATGTTACAAATTATATTATGAAAGCTGCAGCAATATTCGCTAAAGTTTGAATTGAGGGAAGGGAGCAAGGAAGTTTGTAAAAGGAGCACTCAGGTATTCCATTGGAAAATAAGCATGGTGAAAGCGCGTCGCGAATCATTTCCGAGGTGACATATTGAAGAGGAGTTTGTCGAATATATTTGCCGATAAGAACTCACCTGAGATCGTGAGAATTTGTGCCTGCGACTGGAGTTCGCGATCTCGGTTGGTGTCGCATTCGGTGCGAGAAATCGAATCCGATTGTATTCAATACCGAGGGGGTGGTGTTGCAGCTGATGGGACTGCTGATGGTGATGCAGGTGAGGGGGTTGCTGCTGCGAGGGATCGCCCTCCAGATGATGCTCCCCCGTATCTAACATGCTGCCACTCAGGGAGTCTAGCTGCGTCAACGACCTTGAACGCACCTGTAACAATAAAGGATCATTCATACGTTAGTCTCTGTATAATTAAATAAGAAATGTGTACTACGTGTGCTTGTTGTTAACCGCATTATACAAATAATAACTAAGATATAGATCTTTAATAATAACAATTTAATAACATATTTAATCCTCAACTACAGTTATATATACTATATATGTATATGAAAACTACACTTAAGTTCTAAAGCGTTCTACTTCAAGTACAAAATGTAAATAAACGTCCGCCTTAGTTAATAGAAGAAGATTCAATGCTTTTTATTTACAATTTAGAACCTCCTAGTATCAATACAAATTGTACAACTGTCTAAAAGTTTTTGCTTCGGGTCTAAATAACCGTTGCTGTAGAGGATTAATAATAACAATTACTTAGAAATTTGTATCGAAAGTTTTTTTAGAGAATGAGAGGTGCTCTTTTACTCTCTGCTTTAAAGTAAAAATTGTGATAAATAATTAATCTTGCTCAAAATTTTTATTTCTTCAAAAGTGACAAATGTTGTTCTTGCAATGCTTGTCTAATTGATAGCAAATTAAGTCAGTTTTTGACACAATATTTTTTAGCAATGCTCTATTTTAAAATAAAAAAAAAGGAAAAACACTTTTTTCCTCAATATTATATTTTTTCGATGCGATTATCGAAATTTTTTAGACAGGGCAGTGTGAATTCATATAAATTATTTGCTTTCTATCACTGCAAGCAATCTCATGCAAATATCATATATCCCATTCCACCTAATTCTTCTCTCCCCATAATTATCTTCCAATTATTCGCTCGGGGATCAAGCCGAATGCTTCGAAATTGCAAGCACAAATAATGCGATCTGTGTTATTGCGGACGCATACAACGGCCAACAATAAAATAAATTTGTGGCCGCAATCAAATGCACCAGTATGCGCTAGGCGCGTCTGAGAAGAGGGTGAACAAACGAAGTGGAGGGTGACACATCGATAGAGGCTGGCCGGTTTGATATTAACGAACCCGTGGCGTAGCAGTGTGTAGACTCAACCAACAGGCTGACTTCCTGGGAGATAAATCCCAGGGAAACCTTCGTGTGGACGAAGCGGGTCACTGGACGATCGATTTATGCGAATCAATCCCTCCTGCTGTACCTCGAGGGATTCCTGTCGTTCGTTATCACGATTTACTTGTTGTGTTCTTCTTTCACTCATCGCAATAATTTACCGCCGCGACGTGTGTCTTCGAAGGGATTCCTCTCGCTTGGTTTCTCTTTCTTTCTCTTATTAGCGACAAATCACGCAAGATACAATTGAATGACTGGGGTACAGGAGGAGGACAAATTTTCATTTTATATGACGGTTTTAAGCGAAGTAGTTATCAAACGATGTGTAACTTTAGACGACGCTGGAAATAGGGAAGGAAGAGTGACTGTCGTGTTAAGTTTATAATGAGCAGCAGCATGTTACTGCCTAATTTGAAGTTAGGGAGAAGTAATAACCATTTGTGAAACGAATTTAAAATAATTACGGACGAATTACGTAAATTGCACAATGTTTAATAGGTATATATGTAGTACAATCACTTTTTATGAAAATTCTTTATTCTATTAGGAGATCGATCAGAGTTCTCAAATATAAATTTCATTAACAAAATCATATTAAAAATATTTTTCTTTAATATTAAAATCTTTCTAAAAAAAGACAAAATAAAAATTAATCGTTGTGTTTTTAATATTATAAATATTAAGCGATTTGGAATATATTCAATATGTAACATAAAGATGAACTATTTATTTTAACCATTTTGAAGAAAATTTTTTCTATAAAAGCATTCATACGAACCATTTTGTATGAAAATACAAGACACCTTTTTGATCGTACAAATAATTCTTTAGAAAATTCTCTTGCAACTTTTACGGCCAAAAATAGTGAGATGTTCTTCCTTATATGAACGTACGACTTTATAAATAATTCCTATAATAATGCTCGATTATCTCAGGCAATTTTGTTGTATCATTCTAGGTGTATCCGAATAAATAATAACACAGAAGAAAGAAAGTAACTGCCGTAACTAAAAACTGCGTGATAACTAATAGGTGTAAAATATCATAAGTATCATAAAAATAAAATATAGGTATCATAGCTAATGTCTTAGCTGTGATATCTATATTATAGCAGCAACAGCAAACCGTTCCACCGTAGTTTATAAATAGCTACGGCAGCAAATATATTTTAACAAACCAAGATTAGTTACGGCAGAAAAAAATTTTTTAAGTTATATAGCGAATAAACTTCCAAAAAAACTGCATAAGTTGTTCTGACGCACATGTATCCGGCATAAAATTTCACAATAAATAACAAATTAAAATAACATGACACTGATGAATTTGATCCATGTGTATAGAAAAATAAATCTAACTCGATTTATATTATATGTAAAAAATTGAGATTTTGTAAAAATACGCAACAACTGGTTAAAACATAATTTATTAAATCGGAGATAAAACGTCTGTCATTCACAACGCAAAAGATAAAATTCAACGTACAAAATATACCTCAAACAAATAAATCTGATTATAATTCTGAACTCCTCGAGATTCCCCTGTTGTTCTCGAATCGTCCCAATTCCTAAAGTGTCCACGATTTCCATTCTATCACGAGCGATACAACGGTTTCATGCGAGATTAGGTTACACACATTTCGAGCATTTAGGGCGAAAACAGGATATTTACACCGACCTAGAGTGCGTCGTCATGTTAAATCCTTTTTAGCTGTCAAATGGACTTCCATGAGGCACGATTATCCTGACTGATAAAAGCACCCGAGGCAATTTACGCGATGAGAAACAAATAGCTCAATAATAGCTCGAAATGACAATTGTATCACAGAAGTAACGTGCAAATTATGGTCGCGTTCAAAGATCACGGCTGTGTTTGCTTTGGTGCTCACGGCGCTTGTGAGCATCAATTGTCCTTGTTTAATATTTAAAAACAACAAGGATAAAACGACGCTTAAAGCGTTGTGAGCGTCAAAACGAACATAGCCCACATTTCATTATATTATACATATATTCCACATTTTCCTTTTCATCCCCACTTCGAGGTTCAATCTCAGGTTTGCTTGAAATTCAGTAATCGGGTCGTCCATTTTTTAACACTAGTATCTCTCTTTTTCTCTCTTGGTTCCTTGACGACGTTCCAAAGATGTATAGGAACCTACTCTCACAAAAAGGAAAAGAGGAAGAGACAGAGTCGAATCGTAGGATTCAAGAAGAAAACTCAATTACGCCCTCGCACAACGGTATCGAAGACGCTGATACTTTCGTCGCCTGTATGTACATACTTTGATGTATACATTTTCACGCGCGGTGGGTTTACCCATCGATGGGTCCGAGTCGATTGCTGGGCGTCTTTGATCGTTCGATCTTATTTCACCCTCGGTCTTATAGGGATTCGTAGCTACGTCGTCACCATGTGTCGTCGCGGTGACGGAACGAAAACGAAGATGTGCGAAATGAAAAATGTCGAAGAGGGATTTTGGTATTTGTGGATGCAGAGTGACGCTTTGCTATGATTATCGAGAAATATTGAAGTTTATTCCTCGGTCATCGACGATCTTCTTCAAGAAGACCTCTCGCAATCCCTTTTGCCGCGTTTACAAGATACACAATATGTAGTATCCTGAAAAACACGTTCATGTAGATAAATAAGATCTTGTGTACGTTCCGCGCGCGGCTTATGGGATTTTTCTTCTAAAAATAGGACAGTGCGATTGAGTAACGGAATTTTTAGACCGCATCGAGTATAAATAAAAAAGGAAGAATTATACAAACACAAAATACGTTTAAAAATAAATTCCAATAGCTGATATTTTCTCCTTACATTGAAAAAAATAAATTTGAATAAATATTTGTTTGAACAGTTCTAAGTAAATATTTACTAAATGTAAACTATATTTACTAAATGTATTTATTTGATACAAAAATCATTAATTTAATTTAACTATTATTTTTCTGTTGAATAAATATTTATGTACTATACCATTGGAGAAAATGTGTCGAATTAACATAAATCGCATGTCCTAAATGGTCCACTCAAATTTTTGAGTTAATTTTACACAAGATGTATATATTAGAAGGTAACACATATTATGTAAGAGAATAAATACAAAGAAAGATAATATCGACATAGTTTGTAAATAAATCGTGGGAATTTTTTTTTATCAGAAAATTAACATTTATGATATGTTAAATTAACATATAAATTGGGTCATTTTGAAAAATTACACTAAAAAAAAGTTGAATATCAATTTTACACAAAACTTTTAAATAATCACATTATGTTAAATTAACATGAAATATGTTAAAAAGTTCAACACAAACTCTTAACACAGAACGTGAGTGAACCGTTTTCAACACAAATACACAAATTTTTTTATTGTGTATAAGTAACTGTTTATTTATTGCTAGTATCATATTACAAAGTTAGTATTATATTATAAAGACAATATATATATCAAGATTTAGTAAATTCTTTTTTTGTATAGTTTATAAATGATTAGGGGATAAAAAATCTTTAAAAAGTAATTTTCCGAAATCTACAAGCGACAATCTTTTATATGATTTATGTAATCACACGTCATCCTCTACTGATTATAACAAAGACATACAAAATATATGTCAGAACTAAGCACATTTTTAACAGTAATAATTTTGTTTTACACAAAAGTGTATTTTCCAATTCATTACAGTTTTAAATCACAAAAAAGCCCGCATGAAAGAGTCAATAATTTGAAGTAACTTATTTAATCTAAAGATAAACGTTATATATATTTTTTTTTCGTTCCGTTTAGACGTCGATCTGTCTTTTGCGCACTGCATTTTAGATCAATTTATCTCCTGCGCGCTTAATCTTATATTCTATTGCGACATTGTGCGACAAATTCTTTGCAAATTTCTCGAAACGTTGCATTTTCCCTGATTTTACGCACTCTCTGATTCCGACATTGTACAGATTTATCGTGACGTC